GTGAGACTGAGGAGCAGCAACGCAGTCTTACATTACAGATGGATTTTGTCTTCTCTCGGGCTGAGCACTAGAAGTTATGTGTGACCTATATGCAGCTAATATCACTTCCACGTTGCCATTTCATCGTCTCTTATCGTCATTTTTTCATTTTTTTTTTAAAGATTTATTTATTTGTTCATACAGAACTGGGGTACAGGCCAGAGGCTCAGGGGCCGCGAGAGGCTACACTAGAGACAGAGTGGGGAAGCAGAACAGGCAGATGGACCAAGTACACTGCTGAGGAGAGCAGAGCACAGGTCAGGAGAGGTCTGCCGCGCCATGTGGTCACCTCTGGGCAGGCGGGGATCGAACTCACGCGGAAGTGGCTTTAGCTTTCCAGTGCTGTGCTTTAACCTGCTGCGCCACCAGGGAGGACCCACACTGTCATCTTTTGATCTGCCCATGTGTCATATTAACCTTGTCCTCAAGATGCACCTGAGACATTTCTGAACACCAACCCTGTCTCTGCTTTTCCTCCAGGATCCAGCCTGGCGCAGAGAGTGACCCAAGATGAGAGAACTGTCACAGCACAGGAGGAGGACCCTGGAATTCTAGACTGCACATATGAAACCAGTTGGAATTTATATTTTCTGAGTTGTACAGACTCCCAGTGGAGGAAAAGTTTCCCTCACTAATCTGGGTTCTACCAAATAACGTAGCAGGTCACTACAGTGAACTTTCAAAAGGAAAGAAAGAGCCTTACCATCTCTTCATTGCAACTGGAAGACACCGTAAAGTACTTCTGTACTCGGCGTAATTCTGTATACACAGTAACGGGAATGACAGTGGGAGCTTAACAATAACCTTGAGCTCCCTCATGCAGCTCGTGCCATGCAGCACCTGCTCAGGGGCTTAGGAAAACCATGAGCCACACACAGGAAGAAGCCAGCAATGGGGGCACAGCTGAGACATTCCTGACATCACTTTCCTCTATAAAAATGCTCCCATATTTGATCTCAGAGTGAGGCTGTTTATAGAGAGAGCAACCAGCTCAATATGTATGTCCCAGAAGTTCACAAATTTGATCCTTATCCCCAAAGGTGAGGGTAATAAGGGTGGAGATTTGGGGGTTAGTGCTTTTATAAAAGTCTCCAGATATACACTTCTCCTGAACCTGGGAGGACAGGTGAGAGGTGCCATCAGGGAGCAGAACCAAGTCCTCACCTGACCCCAGTCCTCAGTGCCAGACCTCAGTTGCCCCACCCACAGGGCAGTGACAGGTGAGTGGCTGTCCTGTATGAGCTCCCAGGCTGTGGGGATTTGCTTCAGCAGCCGGAGTGGACTGGCACAGAGACAGGGGAGATGAGAGGGTGCCTCCTGGCATTTCAGAAGCAGGGGGCAATGCTGATTGATGGCAAATAATGTAGATTCTACTGGGGAGTCAGGAAATGTTCTATAATTGGTTGTGAGGATGGCTGCTCAGCTCTCTGAAAGATCTTGCGCTTCTATATATTTTGAATGAATGAATGTCTGCTATGTGAATTCTATCTATGGAAGGGGCTCTATGGAACAAGCAATGCAAAAAGTCCCACAATGCCTTTTGTTCTCTGGACTCAGCCTCTCTCCCCACAACACCTGAAACACAGTCACGAGAACAGATAAAACGGTGCAATCTTGTCTGACTGGGTGACACTATGACTCTTATCTTTCATCTCATCTTTTACCAATCTCAAATGTCTTTCATTTATATAGTTATATATTTACAATGATTTGATTTATATTGTTGCTCTATAATCTGGCAAACAGTGGATGCACAGTGAATACTATTAAAATTTTAATTGACCATGCAACTACCACACAACTATTACTTTAGCCTCAAATAAGGTCTTCAGAAGCCTATATTTTCACTTTTTTTTTTCAAGAGAACATAGATATTAGTTGTCGTTCTGTTCATTTGAAATTTTCACAACTGATATATAATCTTCCATTTATATTCACTGTTGATTACCTTTGTTCAACTTTCTTTCTATACAATAAGAAGTCTTTACTTAGGTTAATTTTAAGAATGATTCTATGTAACTTTTCCCAGTAAATACTAGTTCACTGACTTAAATAATTATTATTTTGTTCATAGTCTGAGCCAAATCTTATGATACAGGATAAATGTGTGGATTTTGAAGACTGCATTCGAGGAAGGGAAGAAGATATAAAGGTAGTATAAATAGAGTAACTGGGACTGGATCATCCTAAATGCCCCAAGACACTCATGAACTCCATCTTTAATCTTACTCTTCAGCTGATCTTCAGCAGCC